AATTGACAAATACATAGACAATAAGGGGAGTGAAGAGTGTTAGTTGTTAGGAAGAGAGAGAGAGGAAGAGGGTGCTGGAAAAGGTAGAAAAATTGAAGGAAGATGAGAGTGTGATGAGAGAATTGCTTGAGTTATATTGAAAGAAAATGGGGAGAAGAGAGGAATAGTGGACGGGTGGATAGGCCTTTTACATTTCTCAAGTAGCAAATAGCCGACTCACCCTTCCTTACATTATCATCATATGTATGTGTACGTGTTTACACGTGTTTTCACGTATTCATTCCATCTCTATATCCGTCCATCCATTTGTCCGTCTGTATCCATGCAAGATACAAATTCAACAAGATATTCTCATAGTGTACACTGAAGTCAATTAGTCTTTGTAGAGATTTTTCTATATACTAAATATATTTATTCCATATTAATACTTGAGTACTGAATATATTTATTCCATATTAATACTTGAGTACTGAATATATTTATTCCATATTAATACTTGAGTACTGAATACATTTATTCCATATTAATACTTGAGTGCTGAATATATTTATTCCATATTAATAATTAAATATTGAATATATGTAGTACTTTATACAATAAAGTATATATTTAAATATACATATGCATATATGTATTATGTGTTTATATGTCTACGTGTATGTTTGTATGTCTGTGTATGTGTCTGTGTGCGTGTGTCTGTGTATGTGTGTGTGCCTGCGATGCAAACAGATTGTTCATCACAGCAATAATAAGGTGCCATCTTTCTCCTGTTTACCCGTCATTTCGCGCACGGACAGCTACAGTGACACAGTCAATACCCCTTTTTATCATGAGACACAAGATCTCAAATATTGCTCCGTTACATGTGTATGTGTGTGTGTATGTGATGTATGTCGTGTATGTGCACACTTATATGTGCAGTTATATATACGTGTATGTGCGTGTGTGTATCTGTGTGTGTGTGCATGGCTGCGCGTGTATATGTGTATGTGGTGTACGTGTACAGCTGTCCGTGTTTACGGGCATTTGTCCGCGTGTATGTATATGTATGTGTGTATGTGTATGTCGTGTGTGTGTGTGTACAGTTACATGTCTATATGTATTTGTATATGCGTATGTGTATGTAGATAATAGTTGTGTATTCGGATGGTATATCTATTTCTCTCAACGTTTTTCTAGCCTTCAAATTTGTTTATAATTTGTCTGTCCAGGAAGATTTGCCACGGTATCTTTCCTTTTTTTTTATATTATTTTAAATTATTGAATAGATTGAATTACTAGAGCTTAGTGTATGATAAAAACTGATGATGCTATTAAAAAAGTCAGAAATTTTCATCATTAGGAAGTATAGATGTGAATCTTATTTACATGGTTGCGCAGTTGGCAAGTAATATAGCTGGTATTTGAGCGATATAGCTGGTATTTGAGCGTTTTACGTGTGTTTACGCCATTGAAAAGTAATATATCTGGAAGTTATTTGAGCGTTTTACGTGTGTTTACGCCATTGAAAAGTAATATATCTGGAAGTTATTTGAGCGTTTTACGTGTTTGCGCCAATGGGAAACTCAACCGTCAAGGGAAATATTCATTTACTGGTAAATCATATTTTTTTACTATAGCGAAAAAAAAACATGAATTTATGCTTATAAAAAATTGCAAAATTTTCATAGACGAAAAGAAAAAAAATCATTACTAACACCTATGCTTAGCCAAACAATTGCTATAAAATGGAAATATTAGTGTCGCACTGTGCTGGTGTTAAGTGATGAATGAAATGCAAATCGATAACGTTAAGGTTTGTTTTTCCAAAAATTTGTATACACAACCATCGGAATTTAAAATAATTTTTTTCGAATTGTATTCTTTTATTTTTGGGAATTATTAATGATATAATGTTTGCCTAAAGTAACTAACTACCTCTGAAGTTTTTTTTTCATATCTAAATTATACAATACTTAGTGCTACTACACTATTACGTATGTCAACAATTACATTTTCAGATGTTCTTACAGATTTTCATCAAACATTTTTCAATCGGAATACAACAGTGAGAGTTAAGAAAGGATTACTACCTGTTATCCATCTGTTAAATTATTCGAATTTATACCTTATTCGAGATATAAGCATTCAATAAAATGATTGATTCAATTTTTTGATCATTTACTTGTTTCCATTCACAATGCTTGTCTATCAAGAAATGAAAGGGTTGTCGTTTAATTGTTGCAAGGAAGTTTTTTTCTTTTTTTTTCTTCAGATGAATAATATTTGATCAATTTTGCGCTTTTACATTTCGATATTATCAACAAATACCCCTTTCAAGTTATTTTAATTGATAATTCATTGAAATTGTGAAGAAAAATTTTCCCCTCACTTAACAAAAAATTGAAATCCTAGTTGGAAAAACTTAAAGTTTGGGAAATGAAATAAGGTTTTGAAAATTTGAGATCGTATGATTTGTAATTTATTCGTTACGTCATGTATTTTAGCGTTCGATCGGTTCCATTCTTCATGCATAAAACTTCATAGATTAATTTTCAGATTTTTTTTTTCGTACTCACTGACGTTGCACTGTGACAATTTGGCTTGAAGGCATTATTGCCTTCATTATTCTGATATTAGTTCTGTTAGTTTTATCTCGGTATTCCTGTTACTTGGCTCACATATATTCTAATACAATAGCATATTCTGAAATTCAAAAAATTATAACGTAATAATGGATGCGGATGGTTCGGCCCAGGATGAATCTGTTAGCGGTGGTCCAGGACAAGCTGCCATTAGTGGTAGTCGGGCTCAGAGTCCATCAGCATCTGCAAGTGGTTCATCATCAACCTCAACGACACCGACAGATGTTCATATGCCGGTCGCTGAGAACTGGTGTCACACACAGGTATGATATCCATACTGTTATGAAATAGGTAATAATTTCCTATTTGTAGGAAATAAATCAATAAATAATATAACAACTGTTGACATAGAAAGTGAAAGTTCCTAGGAAGATAAAAAGATTGGCAGTAAGTAAAAATATCTTTAAGTGTGAAATATTTCTACAATCAGAGATTAACCAAGGTATCTAACTCATTTTAAAAGAATAAAAAGACGTTTTACTGTCAAACTTAGATGAAAGATTTCTTATTTTGAGAAATAAGTAGGGCAATTTTCATTAACTTTAATGAAATTTGGTGCTAAGAGAATTCCACCGTTTCCAGATCATTTAATAAAATATGGGAAAGAATGAGTTTATATGTCGCGAATCATTTTCTCATGCATTATGGTTGTTTGTAAAACTTTTCAATTTTCAGGTAAAAGTAATCAAATTTAATTATATGTGGACTATTAACAATTTTTCATTTTGTCGTGAAGAAATGGGCGAAGTACTGAAAAGTTCAACGTTTAGTGCTGGTTCGAATGACAAGTTAAAATGGTGTTTAAGGATTAACCCAAAAGGTACTTCATTTCTTTTAACTAAATGGTTGTATTTGGCTAGTTTAAATGTGTATTTGTCTCTTTGATCAATTCAAGTCCAATACAGATGCAGTTCAAGTTGCATTTTCACTTCAAGTTTTCTAGGAGCACAAATACTGGTAATATTATAGTTTCCCTGGTATCGTATGAACTGAATATTATAATAAAATTTCAAACTGAATTGATTTTCGAAGTGACAAATATGAACTCAACTTGAGTTTCAATTATTTTTCGTTCATTTATTTTCAGGACTTGATGAGGAGTCAAAGGATTATTTGTCACTTTACTTGTTACTTGTACAATGTGCTAAAAATGAAGTACGCGCTAAATTCAAGTTTTCAATACTGAACGCTAAAAGGGAGGAAACTAAAGCTATGGGTTTGTTTTTCTGTTATTTTGATTTGATGGTGAAATCTTGGAGTAATGGAAATTCATGCAAGTTTGGTAAACAACATTCAAAAGCATAATTATCATGTGAAGTCGATTAGTTTTGTTGAAATTTCAAAATTTCAGAATCTCAACGTGCATATCGCTTTGTACAGGGAAAGGATTGGGGATTCAAGAAATTTATTCGTCGAGATTTTCTTCTTGATGAAGCAAATGGTCTCCTTCCTGAAGATAGACTAAGTATTTTTTGTGAGGTAGATAAATTGATTAATTCAACCTTTTTTTCATAACTCATAAATAGTAGTGTGTGTTGAATTTGATAGAAAGATCTAAAATTTAATTTGGAATAAGTTAACCATTTTATTTATTGCTGACGAATTGTATCTCGTTCAGCTAATTGATTGACACATAATACATTTAATGAAATTAAAATTGTGGAAGTCCTTTATTATCAAACCAAGATATTTAATTAAATAATAAATTGCAATTTGCAAAAATATTAAAAATCCTCTTGTGGTACCAAGGAACCGTTCTTTAAAATATAATCTAGCAGGCCAAGAATCCGGTTAAAAATAGGTAATTTCATAACAAAAAATCTAAATTTT